CCTCCTGCTCCGACTCATCAGCGGACTCCACAGACGCAGGAGGAGGCGCGAGGGGTGCGCTTCCTGAGCTGGTAAAGAACGTGGCGGCGGCGCGGATCGGCGGCCGACGGCACCGCAGCAACACGCGCAATGGCGTTAACATGGTTGCGACACCTCGTCGAACACCTGGCGCGCACGCCTCCGCCTCCCAACACTCACAGCTGCAGCAGCCAGCAGGGACAGCGTCCGCACTGCTCAGATCGAGGTTCCGCGGGGGGCGCTTCCAGGTTCTGCCTGAACCAACCGTGCTTCGCGCTCGGCGTTGCCTCTACTCGCCGTGGGAGGGGCTGCGGCTTCAAAGGGAGATAAATACACCCACGGTCATTTAATTGCGTCGAAAGTATGACCTAACTTTGAAATACGCTCGTTACGGTCACTGAATACAGCGCGTATGCGGTGCTTCCACGTGTTGACCGCTCGTTGGGGACAGGTGGCGAACCGTGGAGGCGTGCCTGTGGAAATATGCAAAAAAGCCCTCAGGCATCACCGCATCCCCCATTCATCCCTTCTCCACTCAACTCGCATGTTCGTCTTCGTCGTTAGAGAAAGGGGGTGTTGCATAGGCGACGCCGCCCCGGCGATCATCGGCGGTACAACGGAGGCGGCAGCCAGATTTCGTGCGTGGTTGAGGAGGCGCCGCCGCCGCGCGCCTTCGCCACCCGTGGGAGGCGGCGACAATGTCCCCTGTTCATCGTGCAGAAGGGGCGGCAGCCCTCGTGTACAGTAAGTCCCGTAAACTGAAGAATCCCGCTTTTTGGCGTTTTGATGTTGAAAAACCCTCCTTTTCAGCCCGCATTGCCTTACTAGATGTGTTGTAGTTGCTAGATAGGCCAGATTCTGTTAGGGTTTTGGCATGGGATTTGGGGTTACGAGAATTGGGGCTTAGGGTTTTAGATGTTCAAATAAATTGATGCTCATGTGGAGATGTCATGTCGATTATGATGTATGTTGTATATGTGTTGGTGTCTCAGGCCGTCGAAGCAACAATTTCTCTGTGGAAATCAATCTTGGTGGATTTTTTGTTGGGCATGGAAGGAACCATGCTTATGTTAATGGCCGTGCCATTTGGTATGATCATGTGGAGAAGGTTACTTGGTTACCAATTTTTACTGAAAGCCTAGTTGAGGAAATTGGCTATGAGATGGCTGGCAGGCTCAAGGTTTTCTACTGTGTCCCCATCCTTACACCCAGCACTAATGGTCTGAGGGAACTGAGTGATGATGAACAGACAGATAGAATGATGGTGTTTGTTGATATTGGGCACCACTTCTTTAGCATCTACCTGGATCATGATGAAAGCTTTCAGGCTAATCCAGATGAAGATGATGTTGTCCACAATCCAAGAGCACATCTGTCTCCTGTCTTGAGCCCTGCAAAGAGAGTTCCCAGTAGTAGTGTACACACTGAAGAGGTTGAGGCAGAAACAGAGCATACAGAGGTAGGGGCAGATGCAGAGCCAGGGACAGGGGCACCAATTCCTCTCCAGGTTTTATTCCCTGATGTTGATGAAGATGGGGATGTGAATCAGTTTGAGTTTGTAAGGAGGCCATCAACACAACAAGGTGTGGGTAATCAAATGTAGGAAGCAGAGCCAATGCAACAACCAAGTCAGCACAATGATAATGAAATGCAAGCACATGATGGTGTAGGAAGCACATCAATGAGGAGGAGTGCTAGGCAGACCAAAATCAATTATGCAATGGAAGAAGATGA